GCTTGGGCTGCAGAGGGTGGGAGGGAGGGGGGTAGCAGTCTGCTCATTACCCCCAGGATTTTCACTTTTACCCAATTTGGGGTAATTTATCCCTGTTTCCCGACCTATGCCCTAGGGGGTTAAAACCACCCCAAAGAGGTGGGGAAATGGAGGAGAAGCCTGTTGATCACAGGGGGAACAGCGGTTACCCATGTTTGCTCTGGGAAACTCCCCAATCAACCAGCGGATGGAAACAAGCAGCTTAACTAGCTGCTTGCAAGTCATTGGCAGCCAACAATGGAGAAGCGATAAATCAGCCTAATTAACATCATGTTACCACTGGGTGAGAAATATTTTTTTAACTGCATTGCTTTACTATCCCTGGATGAGACAATCCCTACAGCAGAAATAGTGTCTCCTATCTCCCATCACTGATTGAGCAGCGGTGAATCTGGAGAGAGGAGACAACACAGGGAGACACAAGGAAAAAATGGACATTAATTAGACATTTAATTATACTTAAAGGAAGTATGTTTGGTATTACTTTGTCATTATAAATTTAAGAATCTTTCTCTTGAAAACATTATTGGCAACAACTCTGGGAAACTAAAGTTGTTTATGTTACTTGTAACAGCTATCTAAGGTGCTGGCAAAAAGCCCAGAATCAATGACCTTTAGGGCTGTTTGGAATTCCCTTTCTTTTTGAGGATGAGACTGAACTACAGATACATTAACCCTAGAAAGCCTAATCCAGCCAAAGTGGAACTCCTAAACTGTATCCTGGGTTCTGAACTTGACCGGGCCTTGAGTCCTTCGACAAAACTCTCTACATCTGAGACTGGATTAAAGCTTAACCCCAAAGATGATTAATCTATTAAAATGGACCTATGGAAGCAAGTATTGATGGAACTAGACTACTTTAAGCATCTGGACAATTTTCACTTGGAAGACAATTATTTGACATATGGGACATAATGCTACAACAAGGACAATTTTGGGATGAAACAAAATCTACCCTTCGAGCAATTTTTAAAATAGTGAGATCCCACAAAGAAGGGGTAAAATTATTCAAGGAGCAGTTGATGAAGAACTATAGTCAACAAGAGACAGGGAATAGTGAACAAGGAAATTAGAGGGTGGTGGATGATGTATGCCAATCAAAAGAGGGGCTGGAGGAAATTAGAGGAGAAAACCTAAGAGATTTAATTCTAACCCTGGAGCCGAGGAGAATTTTAGATGTGCTAAGGGAAGATAAGGGGAAAGAATCAGCAGATATAATTAAAAAGAGCCTGGAAGATTTATTGGAGATAGATCAAATGTATAAAATGTTCTCAGGTGGCACAAGGCACAGAAGAATTTTTAGAGAGATAGAAACAAGAATTGGGAAAAGACAAATAAGAGAAGGAGTTACTTAGAAAGATGAAAAAGGGAAAAAATATTGAGGTGGCCTTCAACGTTGAAAGCATGTATATACCGTTTCCCCGAACATTAAGACCTAACGTGAAAATAAGCCCTAGTAGGATGCTCGTAATATAAGCCCTGCCCCCCCAAATAAGCCCCAGTTAAATGAAACCCTTCCCTCCACCATTGTGCAACAACCAGAAGATGATGACATGACTGTATTTTAATAAATGTAAATTGTTGTACATGAAAAACATAAAACATCCCCTAAAAATAAGCCCTAATGCTTTTTTTCTCTTTTTTTGAGCAAAAAACTGTTCTGGGTGGGTTTTGGCTGGGGCGGGTATGTTTCTGTGCTGTGTTGTTTGGTGGCTTTGCTGTTTATTTTTGAAGTTTTTCTTCTTCTTAAACCTCAGCAATGGAGGTGGCTTTAGTGTTTGTTTCTGGAGGTTTTTTCTTCTTCCTAAACCTCAGCAACGGAGTGCCTTCCGACCAAGCTTGCTGTGTTCTTTTTAATTTTTTGGTGATTTTATTTCTTTAGCTGGAAGAGATTAATCGGTTTTCAATGCATTCCTATGGGAAATAGTGCTTCCGACTTACGAACATTTCAATTTACGAACACCATTCCAATACGGATTAAATTTGTAAGTCGAGGCACCACTGTACAAATGTTCTGAAAAAGGAAATTCAGTTCCCACAGAATGAAGCATCATGCCAACCACTGCCCTGAATAGGTCACAAAATAAAATTTGCTCATGGTACCTAATCATATAAAAATGCTGTGAAGTACACATTTCTTTCTAATTATACACCTTACCAGGATGCATAAAACTCCACTGTTTCCTCACAGAATTCAACAGATATTATGTCAGGATAAAAAAAAAGTTTCATGTCAGGGCATGAACTAAAACTGGTTCACACTCCTTTTTACACTAAAATTGTTGCAAACATGAATGTTGCACTCCTTGGAAACAAATGCAAAGTTAAGTATTTTCTACAACATTTCAATTCCAGGTGACTAACATCTGCCCAACAGATGCTGGAAGGTAAAGATTATTTGTCTTAACAACTCTGGTGAGTTGAGCAACAGTGAGAAACCATGACCATCCCAGAGACATCCAGTGAATTACACAATTAAGCAATACTGTAATCCTATTCCTAAAGAAATACCTCAAATTATTAAACTATGCCTGAAATCCTGTTGCTAAGCATAGTAAATTTCAACTAGAGGAGGCCCATTGAATCAGTGGGGATTTTGTGAGCCAACTCTGAAACTTCGATTCATTGTGAGCCTCTTCTTGTGATCTATTATGCTAAGCAACAGGATTTCAGCTTGTTTGATGCTCTTATTAGGAAGGGAGACAACTTGCTATAACTACTACAAAGAGTTTTTTTAAAAGTAGTATGTATTTAAAATGATTCCTTATGCAATAATAATATTGCATTAATGTTAGTGGAGACAGAGAGAGCATTCCACGTAT